TTTTTTTTTTTTAGTTTTTTTTCCATGATCTTGTCTGAATTTTTCATTGGTGGTTTGTGAGGATCACTACTGAATTTTTTACATATCTGGGTGGGTATGTTGATAGTGATTTACTTTGTTTCTGGGAAGATTATGGGAAAATAAATGAATTTGGGAGCTTTTGAATTGGCTGTTGTAATGGTTTACTTTGTTTCTGGGGAGATCATGGGAGAAGAAATGAAATTGGGAGCTTTTGAATTGGCTGTCTGTAAGGCTTTTTCTTTTCTTTTGAAACGACTTCTGAGTTACCAAACGTAGGATCAAGAAAATTATGGGCACTGTTATGAAGGAAACTGAGGGGTCATTACTTAATAATTACCAAGCTAGATAGTGATTTTTATTTTTATTTGTTAGGAAACTGCTTGGCAAGAATAGAAGCAAATAACTATCCTTCATACGGGACTATTTGACTTTTCATGGTAGGTGTGAAATTGACTAAAATAAAAGAAAATTTCAAAACTAGCATTTTGTGTCTCTTGCTCCCTACTATCATTGGATGGAAAGTACGGTTCAAACCGAAATTTGGGATCTTCTTGTTGGTTACAGTGCACTTGCAATAGAAAATGTATCAGTTTGAATACAGTCTCTGTATGTCATTTTTCAAATATCAATTCTTCCTTTAGCCGGTTAAAAAAAAAAAAATTCCTTCTTTTAGCACCATATTTTGTCATTCAATAATATCGACGGTATTGATAAGTGTTCTTTTTCCTTATATCCTCGTTGTGGCAAGCACCTATGTGGCATTTAAGTTTTGTTTACCTGTAAGAGTTTTCTTGATGATCAGTCTTTTTTGGCTTTTCAAATAATGTGATATATTGGTTTTTTTAGCATTTTTTTGTTAATTTTACATATTTATTCGTAGAATTGCGGACTTTATGATGCAACTTTTTGCTATGGAGGAGCAGGGTTTGGGTAAAAGGGACCCTTCTTTCAACTCACCCCTTAGTTTAGCTATGTTATTCGTTTAGGGACGTGGATATGGACAACAAAACTGTGAATAAATAGACGATGCAATGTCCATTACATTATAAGAATAATGATTGTGAACTTAGCAGTACTGGTGGTAATGGACACTTCTAATATTGAATTATTTCCCTTATCTTTCATTTAATTTTGAATTGTTTCCATTACCATTTCCACCTGATTAAAACTATTTTCAACAAAATTCTGCATTTTGTGGACTATATATGGATTTACAAGCTTCCAACTTTCTTTTTGTAGGAGAAAATAGACATATAACACCTAGAATGTTTGTTTCCATTTGTTGTTGACTTCTTGTGATTTTAGTATCGTTTCCCATGTGGTTTGAACCTCTTTCAGCTAATTAAAGGTCAACTGAAACAAGTTGTACCGGATTTGTTCATCCTTGGTTTTTTTTAAAAAGAAGAGTTTCCTAGAATTAATGGTGTCAATCTGTTATGCAAGAATACTGCAATTGGCGTGATCTGATTGGTTGTAGTCATCTTTATGCGTGATCTGATTACTGCTAATCACAGCGCAATTGCAGTGTAGAAAGTGAAAATTAATCTACATATCTAGTTTACCATAAGTTCTCAAAAAGTCAGCTCATGCCGTTGCATTACCTTTTACTTGTGAATTTTAGGTCGAGTAATTCTGGAACTCTTACATTACTTTAGTTCCTAAAGTTTCATAACCTTCTGTGTTTTTATCCTCAGGTCACTTGGAATTGCGGAAGAAAGGTTAACTTGACACATGTCCATAAACCCTGAGATGGAAGGTAAATCTGAATTTGCTGATAACAGAGAAGAGAAAATGGTGAAGGAAGAACTTCATCTCAAAATCGAGGACAAGATTAAAAAGCCTGATGAGGAAAAGGAGAAGATCGACCTGGAACTTGAATTAAAGACCAAATCAGTGGAGAATGAAAAACCAAAACATGAAGAAGACAAGGAAGCAAGAGATGAGAAAGACAAAAAGAAATCGAAGAAAATAGATAAAGAGGAAAAGTACAAAGAGTCCAAGGAGAAAGTGAAGAAGAGTGATGAAGATGGAGAACAGAAAGAGAGAAAGAACGAGGACAAAAAGAAGAAGAAGAAGGAGAAGGACAATGTGTGTGAGGGTGGTACAGATGAAGAGTCAAAGGAGCACGACAATAGTGGAAAATGTAAAGTAGAAGAAGAGAAGAAGAAAGAGGAAAAAAAGAAGAAAGACAAAGGGGAGGAAAAGAAGATAGATGAAGCAGGAGACTCAGAGGAAGTGAAGAAAGAGAAAAAGAAGGATAAAAAGAATAAAAAATCTAAGGCTGGGGAGTTGGATAAGGCTGGAGGGTCAGAGGAAGAGGAGGAAGGGAAAAAGAAAGATAAAAAGAAGAAGGACAAGGCTGGAGAGTCTACGGAAGATAAGAAGAAGAAGGTCAAGCCTGGAGGTTTAGATTCTAAAGAAGATGATGAAGATCGGATCAAGGATAAAAAGAAGAGAGACAAAAAGGAGGAGGATGCAGAAGAAGAGGAAGAAACAGTGAAATACAGAGATGAGAATTTCAGTGTCAAGGAAGAGAAGGAACATCAGGTGGGAGAGGAAGAGGAAGAGGAAGAGGAAGAAAAGAAGAAAAAGGAGCTTAAAGGTGTGGAGGACAAAGATGAAGTGAAGAAGAAAGACAAGAAAGAGAAGAAGGATAAAGAAAAGAAAGTCAAGCACAAAAAGGAGTTAGAAGGAGATTCGAATGAGGAAACAGGGGGAGAGGACAAAGGAAAAGAAGATAAAATGGAGAAAAAGAATGAGAAGGAGAAGAAACACAAGAAAGAGAAGAATAAAGAAAAGAAAGTCAAAGACAAAGTGGAGTTGGAGGGAGAATCATATGAAGTAACAGAGGGAGAGAAGGACAGGGGAAAAGAAGATAAGAAAGACGAGGAAAAAAAGAAAGACAAGGATAAGAAACACGACAAGAAGAAAAATGATGAGACTGATGAAGGAGAGTTTGAGGCTGAAGTTACCACAAAGGAAATTATAATTGATGAAAATGGAAAAGAATCAGGAGGTGAAACAGAGGAAAAGTGTAACGCCAAGAGAGAGGAAGGTAAAGATAAAAAAGAAAAGGACAAGAAAAATGAGAAGGGTGAGAGGAAAAGGAAAGCCGAAGAGAAATACAAGGGTAAAAATCTTGACAAGCTAAAAAAGAAGTTGGAGAAGATCAATGCCAAAATGGAACTCCTCCTAGAAGAAAAAGCTGACATCATGATGCGAATAAAAGAAGCTGAGGACAAGAACCCTGTCCCTAGTGAGACGCGCAAAGATACTGTAGAGAAGCCCAAAGATACAGAAGTGGTAGTTTAGTTGGCATAGCACTATGTGGTAGATATTTTATTTATGCTCCACTCCATTTTGTATTATATCTAGTGTGTTTCCTTCAAAAGTACTTTTTGTGTGTTTACATATTTATGTGGTGACCGTGTTTGTATATTTTATAATGATGATTAAAATGAAACAATCCTGATATTTTGGGGTGTTCATCTTCATCGAGCTTAGCGATCTGCCTTGCCTTTTTAATCGTGGAATTGTTTTTATCATCAAGAAAGGGAGATGTTGGCATCATTGTATGTCTCCATCTGCTTTCACTAGTGTTTATTTTTTCATCTGTCCGCCTTTTTGGGACCTGGGATTGGGAAGGGGTGTATTGATTATGAGTTGTATGGAAACTAAAATATTAGAGCTGGAACCTTTTGATGGACCTTGGTTGCTTTATTGAACTAGGGCAGAAATTTTTTGGCAATGCTCCTTTCATTTATTTATGCTGCACAAGTATTACAGGAAAGCGTCTCCTGTGTGGATTTAAGTCAGTTCAGGTTTCTGAGAGGCTTACATTGTCCACGCTATGCATGTTGGTTGTGTGAGGGGTGAATTAAATAGGACACAATTGTTGTAAATATTGAACTGGCAGTGAAGATGCATCTGCAAGCAACTTAGAAGGAAGAATGATTTTTTATATCTGCCAATAGTATCTGCACTTTTTTTTTTTTTTCTGATTTCAAGAGAAAGAGAGCAACTGCAAAAGGCTTCAGCTGCTAGTGTAAGAATGGCCTTAATGGCCTATAGACTATAGATAATGGTCTGTTGTTAAAGAGAGTAACGAGTTTCAACTTTTCCAAGGCAGTCTACATATGCTACTTTTGTGTATAAAACTCTGAAATTTTGTTGTGAGAGGCTGCAGAAAATCAGGAATGTCTTTTTACATCAACATTTTGAACAGAGAATCTATGTTTCATATGTAAAACGGATGGAGCCTTAATTTAGCAAATTTGTAACAGTGCCAACTTGAGGTTTCATGGCCTTATCTCATCAATGGAGCCAACAGCTCTTTCAAAGAATGACAATGCTCAATCCAACCTCTTCTGGCCTGATATTAACCAAGCCATTATTGATGACATGAGCACTCTTGAAAGATGTCAAAGATCATAACCGAGATGATTGAAAAGAATTTCAAGATACTTGCCCAAACCAAGTGGTCCAGGGCGACGCAATATGGAATTTACCAGAATTAATCTTTCTTCTCAGAATTAATCAACTTGAGGTGTCATTTCTTGGTGAACATGATTTTCTCCCTTTTTTTTTTCCCGGTTCAACGGTTAGGGTTTTTGGACCAAATTACATATATTTTGACTAATCTTCTACTCGGTCCAGTCAAAACCAAGTTAACCACCCAAAATTAGGGCATTTATGAGGGATAAATCTCTCATGACCTGATCCCAAAAGGTTGCCAAAATTTAAACTCAGGACGTCTGAGTTTCCAACTTGTCCGTGTTACCACTAAAATACACCTGACATAATCTCTTAGATCTCCATGATTGATTAGAGATTTTTCTCAATCAATTGTAATTTTTCCGTTAAAAGTTATAATTTAACATTTGAAAGAAATAACTTTTATGATTCATTATAGTGTTTTAAGATATACATTTGTAAGTTATAATTTATACCTAAAAAATTTATAATTTAATTATAAAAAATTATAATTTTAAGTATGATACTGTCTTCAATACCGTAACTTTGGGATATATGCAATTTGAGCAGATAGTAGAGATGTTTTTGCCTGCAAGTTGCATGGTTGTCTTTTGGTGTCACCTTGACCGTTTAAAGTGTCATTGTCAGTTAAATGTGTCGGCATGGCCATTAAAATGAGGGATGGTACCAGACTACACCAACATGCGGTAGAAGTGATCAGACACCAAGTGGTCTGATAGAATTGCTGAATTTAATGAAACTCACCATGTTAGTGGACTAGTTATTCTATGAAGGCATATAATAATAAAAATAATAATTAATAATAAATATATTTATATTTACATTCAAAATTAAATCACAAACATAAAAGAGAGATAAAGAAATGTAAGTACCAATTGTAATAGAGGTGAGCGGAGTTAATGGTGGTGGACAGTAGTGGTGATAGTGGGAGACAGTGATAGTTGTAATGGAGGGCGACAACCATATTGGTGGTGGATTTTGAGTGACGATGATGATAGTGATAGCCGTAGTTGACGACGGTGATGGTAGTTGGCAATGATTGTGGTGGGATGATAATGGTAGTGGTGGTGGTTGACAATGAGTGTTTCTAGGCGACAATGTGATGGATGATGGCGAATGACGACGGTGGTAAGTATGGTGGGGGTAGGTAACAGTGAGTGGTTGCAGTGGTGGGCGATGACAGGTGGTACTGACAAGTGTGGTGGGGGTGGGTGATAGTGACTGATGCCAATGGTGGACGACAACGGCTAGTGGTGGGTTATGGTAGTGGGTGACAGTGGGCAACAATGGTAGTGGTGGGGTGCTGANAGTGACTGATGCCAATGGTGGACGACAACGGCTAGTGGTGGGTTATGGTAGTGGGTGACAGTGGGCAACAATGGTAGTGGTGGGGTGCTGACGGTGAGTGATGGAAGTAGTGAGATGGTGGTGATAAGGGTAATAAATATAACAATAAGATGATGATGGTGGTGGGTGATGGGTGGTGGCAATGGACGACGATGATAGCAGTCAATGGTGGGTGGCGGTGGGGCAGTGAAGGTGGGGTAGTGATGCAAGTGGGGTAGTGGTAATGGTAGGGGTGGGGTGGTGGTGGTAGTTATGATGGTCGTGGAGGTGGTAGGAGAGATGGTGGGACAATGGCGGTGGTGGTAAGGTGCGACAAATGGTGGTGATGATAGTAGAGTGCGATAGCGGTGGTGGTGATGGTGATAGTAGGGATGGTAGAGGTGGGGTGGTGGTGGGGGCGGTGGTTGTAGTGGTGATGGTGGTGGTAGGGCGTTGGTAATAGTGATAGTGGTGGTGATGGTGGTAGGGTGGCGATAGTGGAGGTGGCGGCGGCAATGGTGGTGGTGGTGGAGCGGTGAGGGTTGTGGTGGTAAAGGCAGTGGTGGGGTGGTTCTAAATGCTATTTTTAAAAAAAAAATATTTATGAGAAATAATTTCTAAAAACACTTTAAAAAAATTATTCCAAACATATCTTTAGGGACCAATTTTTTCTAATAAATTTGGAGTTTTAATATTAGCCGTTAGATTAACTTTAAAGTAAAATTTTAAAAAATTTCAACCGTGAATAACAAAAATTATTTTATTTATCTTTTGAGATTTGAATTGTATTGTACTTTATTATATAAATTTAAATATATGGGTTTGTTGAGTTTTTAATCAAATTTATCCAACTTTCCCACTTTTGTCCTTTTTAACTTATTTCGTTATTGGTTATATAAAAAATTGCAGTTTGGATTCATACTTTTTAAAGTAAACACACGTTTACATAACAAACATAGTTAGGTTTAGAAACAAATAAGAAACTACCTCACGATTTATATCTTCAACCAAATGAATTTCTCATTGTCTATTTGTTTTTGCAGCTTAGTAGTGTTGATCAGACACCAATCAGGGCTAATTTTGGGCGATAGCGACAAAAAATTTCATAAGATCCCATTCTAGAAAATTCTCGGTAATCTAATCAAAATTGAAGCTATAGCCTTCAACTCATTGTTTTTAAGTAAAAAAATTACGTTTAANAGACACCAATCAGGGCTAATTTTGGGCGATAGCGACAAAAAATTTCATAAGATCCTATTCTAGAAAACTCTCGGTAATCTAAACAAAATTGAAGCTATAGCCTTCAACTCATTGTTTTTAAGTAAAAAAATTACGTTTAAGACACTTTTTTATTTTATCTCGCTATTTGAGATATTTTTCTTAATATTACATATTTGCTTGAATTTTTTTAGTAATTTAGGACCATTAGGATTTTATTTATATGGCGTTGAAAACTGATTTAACAGTCTTGATTTATTTTGAATGAATAAAACTTAGAGACGATTTCTCTTTTAATTCTCAATTGACTTGATATTCTTAGGGATAAACAAAACTCTTGAAGATTATAATATGGTATTATTGTGATAATCAACATGTTATAGTTTCTATTGTTTGATCTCGTTTCTTTATTCACGCTACCATGCATCGGTATATATCCAGAGATGCATTTGCACTGTGCTGGTATGATAATGATCTCAAACATGTCAAAGCTTTAAAGCCTTTTATTCTTCTTGTAATTTGTAATCACAAAATCAAAATCCCCGTAGATGGGAGTCCTTGTATTCCTAACAAATGTGAAACAATGAATTGGTTCAAACAATCAAGAACTCAACCAATTAGTACTTCTATGTGACCTTGGTAGGTTTGGTGGTGAGTCCAAATCCAAAGGGATACAGAGGGTCATAGTGTTTATCTCCCACATTCATCGGTAGCTGATCAACAGTCTTGAACCACGTATGAGAAAGCTTGCCTGTGAAACCATAGTCACCAAACAAAACATCAGCAACACCTTGGCCTTCAGTTCCTGGAAGCCAAGCAGCTACAAGGGCAGTAATTGTGTCAACATATGGTTGAATCATGACAGGACGGCCAGTGATGAGGACAACAACACATCTTATAGCACCACAGACATTTTTAATTGTGCTAGGGCCAGGTTCAGGAATGGTCAAATTCAAGCTGTCCCCGAATGTCTCTGCGTATGGTGGCTCTCCCACTACAACAATGGCGTAGGAGAACTTCTCTGACTTGACATATGCAGCATCAGGCTTTTCTATGTACACAACTTCTGTTTTTGGGTCAACAGTGTTTTTTATGGCAGTGAGGATTGTTGTACCTGCACATGAAAAAGTCCTTTAGTAATCTCCACCAAATGAAAAACAAGACATTTTAGGGTGGTGCATACATGATGCTTTGAACATGAAATTTAAACTTATATTGTCTCTTCAACTATTTGAATTGATTTTACACTAACCAAAGCCAAACAGGAGACATGTTTTTGACGGAAAATGTTAAAATGCGTAGTGATATTATGAAATCAAGTAACTCATAGTTGGAGGTTGAATCTGAGAAACATGTAAGTTGAGGGGGCAATGTGAATCTAAAAACTATAGTTGGAGGTGCAATATGAGAAACATGATAGTTGAAGGTTTGTGAGATAAAAGAAACAATTGAGGAGGTCAAACTGTAATTTGGCCTTGCACTAATAATACTAATATTTGTGAGTGTTGAGCTCATTGGATCATAAAACATCGAGCAATGCTATGTACACCAAAAATATGTCCCAAAATTTACACTAAATCACTTGCAGCGGTTTGATCAGTGGGTTCCATCACTGATCCAACAGCTGCAGTTAATGTGGTGCAAGTTTTGGTACACAAATTTGGTGCACATAGAACTACCCTAAAACATTTCCTTGGCAATACCACTATTCATCATTCTGAAATATTGTGAACATCTTTGAAGATAATGAAAGGGGGTGTCTGTAAAATTACCAGCAGTGATGTTGCCACTGAGTCCTTGCCACTCAATTGTCCACCCACCACACTGATTACCAATATTGTCTGCATGACTTCCTGCAACCAGTATTTTTGATGCTTTCTTGGGAAGTGGTAACAATGGGTTGTCTGCAGATTCATCATTCTTCAGCAGCACAAGAGATTTTCTCACTGCTTCCCTTGCCAATTCTCTATGCTCCTGTTCAAGTTAAAAAAGACACAGAATGTTAGGCTTTCATCTTGTAGAAAGGTTTGTCATACCACGTGTCAGTGATTCCGTTCCACTTGGATATTTATAACTCATCTGAGGTAACAGAGTTTCAACTACTGGACTGACCTGAGCTCCTAGGTACTTGGTCATGCTATAATCAGCCAGTGGGTTTTCAAATAGACCCATAACGAACTTTACTCGTAAAATCCTTTTCACTGCATCATCAATTCGGCTCATGGGAATGAAGTTATTCTTCACCAGAGAGGTTAGACCATCAATAAATTCTGTGTAGTTGGATGGTACCATGATCTGCAACATGCCAACAACATAGAAATGAGTCCTTAGTTATAGATGGACTAGTCTTAGATATAAACTTTGAATATCATTAAGTGGGAAAGCCAATGAACTAAGAACTGACCATGTCAATGCCAGCAGTGATACCAGTTAGAATGGAATATGTGTAGTTAGCATGTGGTGGAGAAGTGATCCTGTCAATACCCTCCCAGTCTGAGATGACAAAACCCTGAAATAATACAGATTCAAAACTTGATTTTAGTTGCTTTGTTCTAGATGACAGGCATAAAATCCCAAGTTGAATATATCTGGAAAACTGGTTTTACTCTGAAACGCATAGTGTTTTTGAGGTAGCCAGTAATAAGATCACGATTAGCATGCATTTTTACTCCATTCCAGCTTGAGTATGAGATCATGACGGTTGCCACACCCTGGATGATCGAGTTGTAGTAGGCTGGCATATGGATGCTGAGCAATCCATGTCTGCTTATTACAGTATTGTTCTCATTGATACCTTCAGTGGTTCCACCATCGCCCAAAAAATGCTTGGCACAAGCTGCAACCTTTTGTCTACACCATAAATAAAGCCCAAAAACGAGGCAATCAAGAAGTGATCTAGTAAACTTAACGATAAATTTCAGGACAACGTTCGTTTACCATTACAAATGAGGATTAAAAAGTTTGAAAACATTCCAATACTTGGTAATGTTTCTTACTTAATTGTCAAATGGGACAAACAGACATTTCCAAAATGCCAAGATATGGGTGAATTAATAATGCATACTTCATTTCAATTTAATACCTCAGTTGGTAGTCCTAAAATAATTGTCATTTTGAAATACTCATGGATAGTCAAAATTTGAAGCTTGACTATGGAAGTAGGCCTATCTTTGATTTTGTTTTTTGTTTTTGGTTCTTTGTTTTTGCTTTCAATTGTTGTAATAAGTGGAAAACTATGGTCCATACCACTAAGTTATCCAACCAAAAGTCCAAAAACGTGTCTTTCTATTTCTATGACTACACACGCAAACTTATCCTATCACCCAGAAGACAGCTTGTACAGAAATCTTCTGCATCCTCAGCAATTACCCACCCACCAGATGAGACCACTAGAACTTCTGTCACACATTAAAGGTATCCAAAGTAGGTTGTTATGTCTCATAAGGTCAGTAAAGAAAAGAAGTTGATTGCTACTAAAAATGACAAGGCACATGCTGTATTTAAAGTCAACTGTCACATTAAGCAACTCATGGTTGTGAAGCAATCCTAAATCTTATAGCCAAATCTCCAAGACATCAACACTGAAACCTTCTGTAAGCTGATATTATTTTCTCTTGAAATTCAAGCTATGCAAATTAAATTTGAAGTAGAAATTAAAGCGAATTTAGTTGAATGTTACGGTGTGTGAAGATTCATCATCACACTTTCAAATATTCTGTTTTCCAATAAGCGTAAGTATGCAACTTTTGATGGACATTAGAACTTGCTATTAGTTTCTAGTAGCTGACCAAGGTAGATGATAAGGAAATCATAGCAATTGATATGCATGATTAGAAAAAGCACTTACTTTCCAGCAACAAAGGGAACACCCTTTGGAGAATTAGAAGGGATGTCTCCTTGTAATCCTGGTATGAGCTCAGTCATTGCTTGAACAATCTTATGATCTTCACTGTAACTTTCATAACACCGACCCCATCTTGGATCTCTACATACCTGTAAATGGGATCAACACAATAAAAAAAAAAGATCAGAACTTACAAAATGTTAGCAACTTCCTTGCTTAAGAGGAATTATCTTCAAATTGAATTCATTACCGCGATACAAGGTGCAAAAACATAAGGAATGCCAGTAGCTCTAACTTCAAGAGCAGTTGCAACTCCAATCTTTTTGACCAGTACAGGGTCCCTGCTCGATTTGTAAAACTAAACCCGGTAAGTCATGACAACAAATCATCAAATCATTCACTGTATCAAACACTGGTTACATTCTCATCTTCCTTATATCTCCTGATGTCTACTAAGAGTAAGGCAATACAACTTATTTTCATTTTCCCCATTTTCATCTTGAATAATGATCAAAAGATTGTGTGCATCAAAAACTGAATAACCAAAAAGCAGAACTTTGTTGTTACAAATTTGGCTCACTAGTAGTCAGGTATGCCTAATGCCATTGNCCCCATTTTCATCTTGAATAATGATCAAAAGATTGTGTGCATCAAAAACTGAATAACCAAAAAGTAGAACTTTGTTGTTACAAATTTGGCTCACTAGTAGTCAGGTATGCCTAATGCCATTGTGCAGGTGGTCAACAAAGCCATATACAAACAGATTAACATAACCTAACATATACACTTGCCTTGTAGCTCCAAGACCAACATTGTGAGGAAAAATTGTAGCCTTGTACACATTGTTGTGACCATGAACAGCATCAATCCCATAAATCATCGGTATCCCAAGACGGGTGGATAATGAACCCTTTTGGAAATCATTCACCATATTGATCCAGGTCTCAGCAGATGCTTGTTTAGCCGGGACACTGCCTCCACCACTCAATACACTCCCTGCTCAATAACATCAACATAGTGTATACCAATCTTTATCATCAAAGATTTTGTCATTGATAGTTTCAGAGAAAAGACATTTATGTGTTCTTACCAATGTAATACTTCTTCATGACCTCATTTGATGCCACAGTGCGGTCTATCTGAGTCATTTGGCCAATCTTTTCTTCCAAAGTCATCCGGTTCATCAGGTCCTTGATTCGAGTATTAATTGGCTGTTTAGGATCTTTGTATTTCATATACTCTGCATCTGCCATGGCTGCCCAGCAACACGTGAACAGAATACCCATCAAGAGTATAGAACTTCTACCCATTTTCTCTCCTCAGATTGCCTTCACATTGAAAAAAATTATATGATGTGACATTAGATGTTCTGTACACCTCAATCTAATCTTTTACTACCAAAAATTTCAAACTCTATAGAAGTTAATATAAATATGAAAACAAATCACACTCCTAACTCGGGAAATAAGACGGTAATAAATCAATTTGTAAATAAACACAAGAAAAACATTAGATCTGAAGAAAGAAAATGCAAAGAATGAACTCAAAAGAACAGCCCATCAGAAAATAAGATTGCTCCATTGTGACCAGAAGGTCACGGATTCAAGTCGTAGACACAAGTTCTGCTTGTAAGGGCGTACATATGATTTAACCAACCTAGACCCTGATCCCGTACACTGAGTTGGCCTTTTTTACTCGTACAATATATTTTCTGTATTCATCTACTTTGAACAGAATGTAAAAAGGAAAAAAAGGGTTGAAAATTAGATACCACGAAGAACTTTCAACAACACTGACTTGACTGAGGACTGACACCAAAAGAAAGAGTAACAATAAGTTGAAGAAGGAAGAACTTTTAACAACATTATTGATTTAAGCTAAGGACTGATCCAAAATGAAAGAATCAAATAAGTTGAAGAAGAGACCATGTCAGAAATCACATTGATTATGTACTGACTAGACAATCTAGAAAGAAACTAATGCAGATGCAGAATAGCTTTCATTTTAAGTNGTAACAATAAGTTGAAGAAGGAAGAACTTTTAACAACATTATTGATTTAAGCTAAGGACTGATCCAAAATGAAACAATCAAATAAGTTGAAGAAGACACCATGTCAGAAATCACATTGATTATGTATTGACTAGACAATCTAGAAAGAAACTAATGCAGATGCAGAATAGCTTTCATTTTAAGTGCTACTCATCCATAGAAAATTTCATAAGCTCAATGACAACTTGCAGGGGAAAATAGCTACTAGCTAAAGCAAGACATGGAGACAGCTGTGGAACTTACAGAGAAGAAACCAAAAAAAAACAGTAGCCTCTGAAGAGAGAGAGAGAGAGAGAGAGAGAGAGAGNAATGGAGACAGCTGTGGAACTTACAGAGAAGAAACCAAAAAAAAACAGTAGCCTCTGAAGAGAGAGAGAGAGGATTTGGAAGGGAGGGACGGATAGAGGTGATATTTATAGAAAAGTGCTTGAACTTTTTCTATTTGTTATTATCTTTTTCTATTCTGGGCAGCGATCATATGGATTTCCAAGCCTAGTATTTCTCTGCACCCTCATTCCAAGTGGGCTGGACAGATGGGTCCCGTTGAATTTGAGCAGGTCTTTTTGATTTTTAGTATTTGATTAGATCCAAAGAGTGTTGTACCTGAATATATGATCTTACATAAAATTTAAACATTTAAAAAATCAATAACACTATATTAATAATATTTTATTCTTTATTTTTTAATTATATAATATAAAATTAATTTTGACCCATTATTTTTATTAAAAAAAAATTGATAAAATTTTCTCAAAAATGCATGATCTCAAAAAAAAATATTAATATGCGTACAATATCATATATTTAAATTTCAAGGTCCTTTACTATATAGAATATAAATATAAATATGATACGATACGATGCGAAATCAAAAATAATACGATTCATTTGTACAAAGATTTAATAGATTGGATTGATGTTAGACGTGAATTAATTATTTTGTTGGTAGTGTAAGAATTTATTTATTTAATATCAATAATAATTTTGTACCAAAAGATATTTTGAAATATCAAAAATTGAGCATTTATTGTGCAAAATGAACAAAGAGATAATAAGAGAGGTAAGAAGGAGAGAGAGAGAGAGAGAGAGAGAGAGAGAGAGAGAGAGAGAGAGAGAGAGAGAGAAGNGTGCAAAATGAACAAAGAGATAATAAGAGAGGTAAGAAGGAGAGAGAGAGAGAGAGAGAGAGAGAGAGAGAGAGAGAGAGAGAGAGAGAGAGAGTTGTCTGACATTAATGAGTATGTTGATTGAATTGTAGGGTACAACTTGAGTTAGGCAACCTAATTTCAATCCGAGCCTAACCTGAAAAAATTAGAGTTTGGGCAAGAATTTTTAATACTTGGATTGAACTTGGATTAAAAAACTCCAACCCAAATTCAATTTGGGTTGAGCTCGGTTTAAGGTCTTGGGTTCACGAGTTTAACCTGAACCTGATAAATTAAAAAAAAAAAATATATATATATATATATATATATATAAAGTATTAGTACTAAGTTTTTATTTTTGTTCTATTTTTGTCTGTCTCTTTCGTTCATTTTCATTTTTATTTTAGTATTGACACTGTTAAAAATTTAGTTGAAATTATTGGTTGTTAATTTATGTGAATATTATGTAATATATGTACTAGGTTTAGAACAACAAACCTATTTTAGGTTCTACCCGAATTGAACCCTTAAAGTAACTCGAAATCATTAACTCGAATTCAATCCGAGCTCGCCCGAATTAAACTCGGGCAGTGCTCGGATTGAGTTCCTCAACCCGAGGTAGGGTTAGACTTAGGATTAAGGTCGAAGATTATATACTTAGGGTTGGGCTAGAGTTGACTGTCCAACCCACCCGAGTGCACCCCCTATTGAATTGTATGATATTAGAGACCGGATAGAAAACATGATGGTTTTAAGTAGAAAAAAATTTTCAAAATGAATTTTGTATTATTTGATTAATTTAATAAAAATTGGATCAATTTTGACGGTTGTTGAGATTTTATAATTTGAGAATTTAATTTTTTATTTATAATATTAAATAAATTATTTTATAATTAATATTTTTTAATAATACAAATAGTAACACTAACGGAATATAAAGAGAAAAATATGAAATAAATATGAAACAACTCAAAATCACACCAAACAAAAATGATACAATACAATTTAATTGACACTGCCAAGTTGAGCAAATTGGGCGGCCCCACCCGTTCGTTTAGAAGTTCGATCCATAATCACGTGGATGAGGTCCAAGGTGGTAGGTAATACCACATATTGATAGGACCTCATGGTTGGTTGGTCCAGCAGAACAGTGGAATCCCTGATCCCTACTACCGATGGATGGTTCAGTGGAGTATCTGTTGAATTTTTTATTTTGAGATTAGAGGTGTGAGTCTTGAAGTCTATATTGAGTTTGGTTGTTAACGGTTATTTTAGTCTAATTATGTTTGCTCTCAAGAAAAGTAATAGGTGCAATCAGGGTTTCATTAGTGAAAATCTATTAGAGTGGTCTCTGGATACTATCCTTTACCACTACCCTTTTTTTAGCACATAAAAAAAAAAGAAAAATCCCTAATCCCTATCTTTATTTTTGGGTAAATATATCTCTAACTTTAATGTAATTATGTAGTTGCCTAGGGTACTCTAACTGTCTGTTTAAAATCGTAACGTAAGTTTAGGGTGCCATACGGGAGGGAAAATGAAAGTAGAAATCGTTTGAATTCTCCCACATATTCTTTCTTTTTTTAGTAGTTTTTCTAGAGATTTTTGTCATTAATGCAACATTATTGTTGCTCATTTATGAAAATTATATTTAGTATATTGAATAAATATAATTATCCATCGCTGGTCATTTATGTGGATTAATCAGATTTTAACAATTTCCATAGCTCAGAATAACATGGCGAGAAAAAGGAGGGAAGAGGTAGTAATTATACAAACAAACTATAATTTTTCCTTTCAAAATTAAATTTCAACAAATCATCGTGAGTTTTAGTAGGGAGATAAATCATATGCAACCATCTCGATCTCCATTATTTTTGGCGATG